CCCTTTTATAATCAGGGTGGAGTTCTTTGCCAAGTCTCTTGAAAACCACGCTTCGAGCTGGCGGCTTACCCGCGCAGGGCTTGGCGAGAAGCCGCACGCTGCCTCCAGTCGTGTACGCGTGGCAGATCTGGCAAACGGCGGCGAAACTGCCGTCGCTGAAATCCACCGCTAAACACTTGTGCTCGAGCGCCCGCAACTTGGCGGGGTTCAATTTCAAAATCAAAGAACAGTGGCCTGGGGGCGGCTTGGATGTGGAGCGCTTGCACCTTAAACAGTGGAAGCGCTGCCAAAATCGCCCAACCCAGTTCCAACTGCGTTGAGGCCAGCCGCTCTTGCCGAGGGGGGGAGGGGCCTCAACTCGAGCAACCCCTTCAAAGTTTGAACGGGGCCACAGCTCAAGAAGATTTGCCGCCAGCCGAAGTGTGGCCTGCGCAACGTCCGCGAGATGAGCAACACGCCTCTCCTCGGACTCCGAAAGGCGGGGGTGGAGCAAAGCTCCCATCTTCGCGGCCCTGTCGGCCTCTGAATTCCCCCAAATAAACATGCGATCCTCCAGCGGAAGGGACGGATCGTCTTCTTGATTGGGCTTTGACCTTAGCCAGCTCTTCCAAGTGCTTCCCTCCGAACGCAAACGCTTGCAAGACAAGGCCAGCGCAGGGCCTGTTCGGGTGGAGGCGCTCGGCCCGCGACTTGTTAAACTCGTTTACAACGGTCTGACAATCGGAGAAAAGCCTACTGGGACCGCCAAGGAGGTTGGCGATCGTGGCGGGGGCGATGAACTCGGCGGCCACGCTAGTCTGCGGGAAGAAATTGCTCACTGGCCCAAAGATCCTAGCGAGCAATTGCCCCGAGGGACCAATCATCACAGCACCCCATCCACTCCTAGACAGGTCCTTGACCTTCGACTTGCACGAGCCATCCAAGAACATCAAGCCCGAGATCTCCCTCAACCCCTGGGGAGGCGGCGGATGCCCTTCCCCTGCGAAAGCCACAGGAAAGAACTCATATATAATCGCCTCCAGGGCGGCTTCCTGACTCAGACGGCCAGGCAAATCCTTCGAAGGGTGGGGGGACAATCCCGACTCGCACAAGAAACGAAAAGACGGGGTCGAGTTCGTTCACAGGCCCCCACGGATGCGATCCAGAAGCTCGGGATCGACAGCAGTCTGCCTTTTGTCTTCACAGGCCTCGCAAAACCACAGCCTGTGGAGCACCGCGTCTCCACTCCTAAAGCACAGAGGGCACTCGTCGGGCACAATGTAGCCCTTCTCCACAGCCCGAGACATAGGCCACAAGGCCTGGCACGTGAGAGCTCGAATGGCGCCCTTCTGTTTTGGGGGAATTTCTTGGAAACCAGGGCCCTGGAAACCGAGTCAAAGCACAACCGATCACCGTCGCCGTACTTCGCTCCAGCATCAAACTCCAAGCAACGAAGGACATAATCTTTCAAACACCTCTGTAAAAGGGCGGGGGAGGAGACAAGGAGAGGAATACTTCTTCCAGTATCGTCCGTACAAGTGTAAGAGTCGGGCATGGTCCATCCCAGTCTGGCCAACGGGAGATACATAGCTCCCAAGGGTCCCTTAACCGATCTCCACGTCTTTGGGGGGGCACTCCAGGTGGCCTCCCAAGAGGACCGCAGCTCAGCCCATGTAAGTCCCCATGGGGGCGCATGCGTCTGTAGAAGCCACAGCTCCCGCACGTATCTAACAATAGGCGCCACCGAGCCGTACCAAGCAGGGTCCGATTCCAATCGAGTCAAAATCGTCAAGCTGCGACCTCCAGCCGGCGGCTTCAACGTAGAGGCAAACATTTTGCGTCCTGACGCCAACTCTCCGTCAGTCATGCCGTGCACCTCCGAGCCGTGCTGCAGGCCCGCCAGGGGGCCCGAAACGAACACCTTAGCTGTCCTACGTCCAAGTACGCCCCTAGGCTTCAGTAGCCTTCTGGTACGCCTGGCCGCGTTCGACAAGCGGGCCCTCGCCTTAGCATTGCGGCCGCGAACGCGCCTCGAGGTCCCAGACGTAAAGTCAATCCCCAGGTTCACCGTGGTTTCGAGAGGGGGGCCCACCAGAGGCCCGAACGCCTCTTCCAGCCGATGGGAAATGACCCTGGAAGAGGCGACACAAGCAACTTTGTCCATGGAGATTTGGGCCCTCATCATGCGAGTGATCGCCACCTCGAGGGCAGCAGATGACCCCTTTAAGCTCACGACCACAGAGTCAGCCGAACCGACCGAATTCAAAGCCGTGTCATCGATGTAGATGTCGAGCGTAGTGTTGGGGGCGATCGGAACGGAATCAAACGCCCCCATCCCGTGAGCTTTGATCAGAGTAGTCGCCATCGGGCAACCCGCGACAACACCGAAGGAAGCGCGCTGGGAAGGGGACACCACCCCGCACAAAACCATGCATCTAGCCGGTCGGTACGCCGACAAGCACACCGACAACACGACAGGATCGACATTAAGCCTGAGGCTCCGCTGCTCGAGCAGCGCTAGGGGGATCTGCTCGTAGTACTTCAGCATATTTCAGAAAACTGTGCCTGCGTGACGGCCTCTAGCCGTGCTGGTCTCAGCTCGCATGGCCTGCCTCCAGACCACGTCTGTCGCCGAGCGGTGCTTCCCAGCAGCCCAGTAGGGCCGATCGTTCTGGGCCTCCCAGGACACCGCGATCGGGCGGCGAGCCCTCCCCCATAGACGGCAGGGGCTCGAGAAAACCCAATGGGGCGGAAACCAGGGACCGCCTTCGGGATCAGGGCCACGATGAGGGCCCGAAATTGATTAGGAAGCACTCCCCCTGACAGCTCCACCAAGGTCCAGAGCTCCGAAAAAAAACAACGAAGGGCATCATCGCCCAGGAACTGGTAGTGCCTCATGTGGAAGCCGCCCAGACCGACAGCAGACCTACGCGACAAACTCCGAGAGATCTCTCTGATCGTCTCGACAGGGATGGCAGGGAGCGGATCCTGGGAGCGAAGCCTAATATTGGGAGCCTGGGGGTTTGGCGTGCCACAGTTTCCCAAACTTGGTCCTTTCCGCGCACAGGAGCTCCGTGGGATCCGCAACCAAGGAACCGAATATGCTCAGCGTACTCGTCGGCCTCCAAGCCGCGGGGTCCTTGGAAACCTAGTGGGCTCTTCTGGCACCCTGATTGATGCCTTCAGAAAGCCAGACGGCCCAGTCCTTCCTAGCCCGAGAGATGAACTTCGCGTTGGTCGCCTCGAGGGCCCCCTGGATCTTAACGCCGAGGGCGTCCATTTCTCGACCCAGATCTTCCGCGGAGGCCCCGTCCAGCCAGGCCCGAGCGACGCCAGCCACATTGCCGAACAAAACCACCTGGTCGCCACGATTGTCTCTGACCAGGGGAGGAGGATTGCACAAAGCTTCAGCCTCCTTGCCCGTGTAGGCCGACCTAATGTATCTCGCCAGGCGGTGGAAAGAGGAGTTTAACCATCTCATGCCGTGGAGCTCAGGGTAACGGGGGGCCCCCAAGTCCCGCCCCAGGACGGGGCGCAACCAAAGGGCCACCCCCTTTCCCCGAGCCCCATAGTAAGAAATGCTACAACCCATCATTCTGCAGAGCTCCCGCTCCGCAGTGTTGGCCCAAACCTTATAGCACGTAGCCAACATCGAATCAAACACATCGGAATCTCTCTTCAAGGCCCGAACTCGAGCCTTGTCCATCAACAAAAAAACTTGCTGTAGTCCAGAGGTTGGGGCGAAGGACCGAAAGGGGATCCACAGCAATCGGAAGGGGGGTTCCTGAAAGACAACACATGCAAGTTGGCTAACGCAAAAAACTGAACACGGACAGGGCCATGCGGAACAACACCGGCCCCCGAGTCGTTCACCGAGGCCGCCTGAACCGCTTTCGCCAGACTTCCAGAGACCACAAGATAGTCATAGAGTTTAGGCTCCCCCGTCCCGAAGCACGTAGGTCCCGAAGTCGAAACGAGCTGGGCCTTCAAGTTACTGACGAACTCGGTGCTACGCAACATATCAGGCTCGTTATTGAAGCCGCCTCCCACGATGAAGGGAAGGCCCAGCACCGACAGCTCTGCCCCGAGAGCTCCCAGGACCTCGAGATTGTGGTCGTCCATTCCCACAGGATCTTTCAGGTAGAGGGAGGAGACAAAGATGGACTGACCTCTGGGGGGCTGTGCAACAGCTGCGACGGCCCTATGCGGCCAAACAATAGAGCCGTGGCAAAAGGGTTCGATCAGTCCCATCCAGGCTCGAACCAGGATGGCCACCCCAGACGACGGGCCTCCCCCCTCTCCAAGGGTGCAAGGGGCCCAGACCGACTTCCAACCTTGCGAGAAACACCACTGCGAAGCTCGGGAGACTTGATCTCCCGCCAAGAGTTTGCGTTCCTGGATCCAGAGGACGTGGGCCGAGCACCGAGGCAACCACTCCTTTCCTGACGACCACGCGTTGCCGTTGATCTTTTCAACCATTAAAGAAAAATCCTCCAGGGGGGGGGGGGGGGGCTCGGGGATCTCAGGATGAATCAGACCGTTGGCCATCGGACCTGCAGCCCCGCAAGGGGCGGAAGGGGCGGCTAGGAGGATTACCGAACGACGAAAGGTGCCCTGCTCCAGGCGACAGGGGACAGGGCACACAAGGCCTGGATTGAACCTCCGCCGAAGAGGAGCTACCCTCCTCCACGGCGCTCGCAGCGCACTGCGATGTCCTGACCCAATTTTCGACAAGTCCAGCGCAATGTAGGGACGAGAGATGGGCCCCAGCTAGAAAAGTTGGCTGGCGATCCCCCCCACAGCTGGGTTCCACATGACACGACGCGACCTCACGGAGTAGCTGCGCGCGTGGGGGGGGGGGGCTCGTGCGAGCATGGCTTCAGAGTCCCCCGGCGCAGGCGGTGTTCCAGGCGACGCAGGTTGCTCCGCAGCCTCGGCGGCAGCGGCAGAAGGACCCCCCGCTGCGGCACCCGCTGCTGGAGCGTCACCTTGGCCGTCGAGAGGCCCACCCGCAGCTTCAC